CCTACTTACTAAGTCCCATGATCCGATAAGCAGGCTTGGGTTCAGGGTTAGGGTCTCATGGCGTGGTTGGTCCAATGCGCGAAGTGCTCTTCAATGTGAAGGCTACGCATCTCTGCCGGATGCACCGCAATGTCACGGAAACAATGCAGTGGTATGACAGACTATCTCGGGACGTTCCAGTCTTTCGTCGAATTGTTTTCCGATTGAAGTCCGAAAGCTTCAGGGCAGAGCGTAATGGATCTTCGATTGAAAGATGCCGAAGTCGATGGCGGTCCACCCACGCCCTAAGCCTATACTGCTAGCCTGCATGGCTCGTCGAGGGTCAACCCCTCTAAAGTTTTGAAAGCAGTGTTTCGGCGATGAATTTACCTGGGCGCCAAGCTGCGCTGGCGAACATTCTCAAGCCCATCTTTGAAAGTTGAATCCCAATCCGCTTTACAATAGAAGCCCTATCGATTTAACTTGTTGCTTCTTGACCGGCTTCTATTCATTCTTTCACGCTTTACAGCTACAAGCTTGACCATTAAAATGACATCTCGATCAATGTTTTAAAATTTTCAGGTTCTTAGAGGTGGTCTTGGTGACCTTTATTGACAATTCCAGTATCGGCTTATTCATAAGATATTTCGGCCCAAATTCACTCTGTTCATTTCAGTTTTGATTTTTGAGGTAGCCAATTTCAGAACTTATTGGAATAGTAACAGTTGTTTGTACGGTTTCAATTTTTGGGAAAACAGTTTCAGGCCTGTCAACCAGACTATCATATGTTCAAAACGGGTATTGTAACCCCCCCCCCAAAAAAAAAAGTTGGAAACCGGATTAGGGCAAATTAGTGCTGGGATTCCCTATATCTGACTCTTAAGGATTGAGGCTATTGGGTTTCCAACTTTTGGGCTTCTACTGTAAATATAAATAAATGAGTTCACTAACAAACTAGTCAAACGCAAGCCTATGTAGTAGTAGTTGAATACATCTTGCTTTAACCAATATATTTTTGCAGCTATGGTATGAAAACTATTTTTTATTATTGACTTCTTCCTTTTGCAAAATTCAATTTTTGATTAATAGCAACATCTATGTTGGCCACGTGGCCTAGAAATCTTGGAGCCTCTATGCCTCTAGGCTTGCCTGCTGGACCTTCTGAGCATATGTGTGTGTGTGTATTTGTCTGTCCATATATATATATATATATGTATATCTCTCTCTCTGCGTCTCTCTCTGTCTTGTATATGTATGTATGTAGGTATGTATGTACGTATGTATGTGCGTATGTATGTATGATATGTTATGTACACCTGCCTGCATGCATGCATGTATGTATGTATGTATGTGTTCATTTGTTCGATTCACCCACGAAAGGTTTCAAGACTTCTGTCTAAATGGCTGCACCAACGCCCAGCGAGGATGTAGCAGTCGGGCGGCGGCGATGAGTTGAAAAAAAACGGCCCAACCTTCCTAGAAGCCTCGAAGCAGCACAGGAGCTCTTAAAGGCAGCTGAAGGCGTCCAGCAACCGCTGAGCTTCAAGAGCAGCCTGCGACAGTGCAAGGCGAGTGAGTTTCGGAGTCCACTACTACCAAAACAATGTCGCTTGGGTGTTGAATGCAGGCTGTGCAGGCTTCTAGCAGAATGCGATGCACAGGGTCCTGGTTATTTATTGTGTAAACCCAGCGTAATTGTTATGACTTCCAATATGAATTACAAGGTCGCGGCTTTGGGCTTGCTGTTTATTTGGATAGAGCAGAGGGTGGGAAAGATAAGCCGGCAATGGGTGCATATTTTTCTGTCAGCAACGCAGGTTTAGCAATCTCCACTTCTCTCTCATCCCAAGCTCTCCAATGACAGCCTGCATTCGACAGCTTCATCTTTGCGCAGTACTTCAGCAGTAATGAATCCCCTAGACCTAAACCCTAAACCCTAGAACCTTCGCAGACAAAAGGCAGAGGCCCATAATTGACAAGAGTATTTCCCGAGAGTTCCCTTAGCAATCCAATTAGACTCTCATATTCCTCAAAGACCCTACGCCAATTATTGCGGCTCCCGCAAGTGCTCAGTTCCCAACCCAGATGTTAAATTCTTGGGGCACACTATTGTAAGTATGTACGACATACCCAGAAGCCACACAATTTCTGTTTTGGGCCCCTGTTGTTAGCCTTTGGACTTGCCGTTTCGGGCCGGTCAGCCGGCGCCGAATGCACTCACAGGGCTTTGGGGATTATAAAGAGTTATAAACCCGAAACCCTGAACCTTGATTCAAGGTTTAGAGTCCCCTCGGTTTAAAAAATAGGGTTGAGGGGACTTCGGCTTTATGACGTAGTTTAGACGCAGAGAGGCTTTGGAAGCGCTCACCTCCCAAAGCTATCATGAGCCGGGGCTACTTCTCAGGGCGAGTTACAGCATTGCCTGGACGTACAGCAGACAGCTAGAGTGTGAAATTGATAATGAAGATTGACGCCGATATTTCATATATTTGCGTTGCGGGCATGAGGACCATGAGTTTCCACACAGTTATAACCGTCTATCGGAACTCGTTCCAGTTTCCTTCCTGTGATGTCAGCGCTTTCCTTTGTTTTGATTTGACTTCTCCTTGTTGGGCCATGGCTCACTGTTCTCCGTGCCCCCACGGCCGCGCACAGGTGGGTGCTCCGCCGAATTCATCGACGGAGACTCGCCGGTTTTGGGCACAGCTGTTGGACTGGAGTTCTTGATTTGCAAGCCTGTGAACGGAGGGCTTTGTTGCGTTATGTGAGCAGACTGCAGACGAGTCGGCTGACTTGCAATTCTGGAATGAGTTGCTGAAGCACTTGAGTTGCACATTGCTGATGAAAGCCCACCTTAGGACAAACTTCTCCACCTCGCGAACGCGCAGAGGGCACTGCGCGAGGTGCGTCGGAAGTGCGGATTGAGGGTTTGTGCAAACTGTGGGTTCTTTGCGCTTCATTACGTCGGGACTAGCTTTGATAGTGAGCCGATGACGGCATTGCAGCTCACCGGCAAGCAAAGCCTCGTGTCGCGTAACCTCATACTCCGAAAAAAAATACAAATAGCTAGCAATTAATCTAGATAGACATAAATGGATAAACATATATATGTACACATGTACATATATATACA